AATCTCATGCTTTCCAACTAGTATTCTAGAAATTAGAATGAAACACTTGCAATGTTCCCTTGAAATTTTCTGTGGACTATGGAAGACTTTATAATTGTGATTTAGCATCTCATTATATTTAGAATTTGTCTTATAATAATGATCAGTTAATGTCTCATAATAATGAGCGCCTCGTCATATTAAGGACATTTCTCATAATACTTAACATCTCATAATAAAAATACATTTTCTCATAATAATGACGTTAATGTTTCATAATAATAAGAAGCTTTCCTATTATATAGAAAGTAGAATGAACGTTAATAATGTAGAATTTGGTAAATGTGACTTTTTTCATTAACTCCCCCATCCACTTATTATTATTAACTTATCATGAGAAAGTCTCCCATTATGAGATTTCAAGTCATTGTTACTAATTCATAATTTATTTATTTTTATATTATTTCCAATTTTATGACAACAACTAATAATAATAATGAGGTTTCTCATTATTTTCTCAATGCAATGAGATTATATGCTACATTATTTTTATGAAAAAAAATGATAAGTGCTAAGTGATAATTATAAGAAAGCTTCTCGTTATTGTGAATCATATTTTTCACTCAACTGAGGCGGAAACAACCCAACTCTAATGCATGATTATTATTATTATTATATGCTTGTATTTTATTAGATGCATTTAGCTCCTTTCCCCCAATTGTCCATGACCCAATCAAAACAGACCCATTAGTGACAAGCCACTGCTCTCGAAATCTTCAAAATAGTTTGTTGTAAATTTTGGCCTGTGAGAATTATCACTGAACATTGAGATTGAAGTCAGAGGTACAGATTTTAATCGACCCCCCTTGCTCTCAGCAGAGCAATGCTTGTTCAGCTTTACAGAGGGTCAAGGATGTGCTGTATCATTTGGATAGCAACACTTTATACAAAACCTTAAAAATATCCAAACCCTTTGGCCTGATATTGGGAAGTAACTCTTCTGTGATGCAGTGCTTTTATGTCTAAATTATGCCTTTCACTGTTTTGCCGTCCAGACACTTATTTATTGGTCAAAAGATGTTTTTTTTTCATTGGCCGATCTGGATAATGATATCTAAAGAGCACAGCTGGAATATATTTATGTGTGTGTGTGCTGTAGATAGTATCAGTGTTTCCATACTGGTAGTTAAAAAAGTTAGAATTTGTGTCGAAGCGTTTCATGTAATATTTTTCTTTTTCGAGTGCTGTAGCAGGGGCCTACTTGATATTCATTGGACACAGTAGTAGGGCAGACACAAAACTGTGGTCGGTGTGGTCAGATGCCTAGGTAAGTACCCTAAGATGAGATGTCTGTAGCATTCATCTGTGAAATAACAGGTTGTGAAACACACAGACATACATTTACACAGCCTCCCGGGATGACCTGGCCAACTTTTTGATGTCTGGGTTTTGAGTTATCAGCGAGACCGGTTGGCGAAATCAGTTTTTATATTACTTTGAAATGCTGCAAGTCGACCTTTAAATGTAGTTTTGTAACAATATCATAATTATGGCACAGCACATTATTGTATTTATGTTTCATTCATCCCCTTGAGGTAGGATGATATGAGGTTGACAAATGATCATCTCTCAGCCACCAGTTCTAATTGTAAATTTAATTTGAGTTTGTAAGATGTAATTATAATCACGCCAGCTGAATTGATGTGTTAATGCACAACGCTTCTGGTCATTTTCTCTCCTGTATTCTTCAACCCTGGACTCTGGGTTTCATGTTCTTCTCTCCACCCACTGCCACTTTCATAAACTGTTTAGGGCCAGCAGTAGACCACATGCTTGTTTAAACCACACCAAGGGGTAGGTATAACCAGGATGTGAAGTCACAGATAGCAAGTGCACTTTTTCTGGTACTCCGCTCATAGGGGCTGGCAATCTTACCCAGAAAGCTTTATTTTAGTTAGAAAAAAAGCCTTGTGATGGAGCCAGAACCACAGCAACCAGAAAGCATGACATCATACAAATGCGGTTGTGGCATCTGTAGACCTAGGAATTTCAGTTTGGCATGAGTTTAGCTTTATTTCACCACACTGTAAAAAGTAATGAGTTGACCTTACTAGGAAAACCGATTGCCTCAAATTTCTCAAGCAAATTAGTTTATCATTTTTGAGTTAATAAAACTTACTGTATGTTACTTCAAGTCATTATTTTTTAGGCATGCTATCAAATCAACAATTTCACACTGTAAGAAAAATTGCACCCTGCACTCAGGAAATAAATAGAAAAAAAAACAAATATCAACATCCCTTTTATGACACCTTGTAAATCTAGATTTACAATTTTCTAAATCATTGTGATCAATCATGAACAATTACACTGAAAAATGCTCCATCACGCCACAATGACATCTTTCTACATCAGAAGATTTTTCAGAGATTGCATTCTAGCTTCAGCCATTGAATGAAATCAAAGGTGTCCTTCAGTACTGGAGGATACTATAATTTCATAGCATAAATCCAAGTCCAAAGAGCAGGCATATCTTGGGGAGGATTTTCCAGATCATCCAATACAATTGTACCTTCCAAAATGATTGCAGTAGACATGGCATTAAATGCAGTGAGTTAGGTATGGCTCTAGAGTCCTCAGCTCAGGGATCACGCTCAACAGGCCGACTGACGTCTCTTCTTCATCATAGTCCTAGAAACAAGAATACAATATGACAAAAATAAGTAATTACATTTTAAGAGTACATATTCAGGTTAAACATTTGCAAACAAATGAATATCTGTGTATTATGTTTAGATATAAAGGCCTTTTCAAACTGAGCACAGCAGTGGATCCCAGATAAAAAAAATAGACATTCAATCTGTTGTACAATGAAGATATTTGTGATGATATCTGAGAATGCTTGTAAACAAGGCACAGTGCATGCGTGTTCTAC